TCCTTCACCCATTCTGCTCCATGGTTTACACCTGAACTACGCCAACTCAAAACAAAAGGCCGTCGATTGGAACGCCTCTGCAAAAAAACTGGACTTGTCGTTCACAAAGAGATGTACAATAACCACATTCTCCACTACAAGGACACTCTCTCTACAGCCAAATCATCATACTACGCAGTTCTCATCAGCTCTGGCGAAGGGAACACAAGGGTCCTGTTCTCTACAGTGAAGAACATTCTACGACCACCGGACTCTCTTGCACCTCATCAGTATTCAACTGCCTACTGTAACTCCCTCATGTCATTTTTTAATGACAAAATAGAAAACATTCACCAGCAACTAACTCCTAACACCACCTGCAGTATATCTCTCCCTGTTTTCACCGACCATCTCTCTCATTCTCTTTCAAGTTTCACACTTCCCTCTGCTGTTGTAATATCTGACCTCATCAGTAAATCCAAGCCATCTACCTGTCAGTTAGACCCTCTTCCTACCCCCCTGGTAAAAGCCTGTCTACCTTCATTGTCCTCCCTTATTACTGTCATCATACATTCCTCCCTCACCTCTGGTCTTGTTCCCTCACTTTTCAAATCAGCCGCCATCACGCCCATACTGAAGAAACCTGGTGCAGACCCCAACAACTTTAATAACTACCGTCCCATATCTAACCTACCATTTCTCTCAAAAATCCTGGAAAAAACTGTTGCATCCCAAATCGATACCCACTTGTCTGACAATAACCTGTATGAACAATTTCAATCTGGTTTCCGCCCCCATCACAGCACAGAAACAGCACTGGTGAAAATCACTAACGACCTCCTCATGGCAGCTGACTCCGGACTACTAACTATCCTCATCCTCCTTGATCTTAGTGCAGCTTTTGACACCATTTCCCACAGCATCCTCATTGACAGACTGACCTCCATCGGGATCACTGACACACCCCTCCTCTGGTTTAAATCATATCTCTCTGGCCGCACTCAGTTCATCCAACTCAAAACCTTCAAATCACAGCCACTTCCAGTCACAACCGGTGTTCCCCAGGGCTCTATCCTGGGACCTCTTCTTTTTATCATCTATTTACTTCCTCTTGGCAATATCTTCCGTAAACACAACATCCACTTTCATTGTTACGCGGATGACACCCAGCTCTACTTGTCCTCCAAACCAACCACCATCCTCCCTCCATCCTCCCTGTCTGACTGCTTACAGGACATCAAATCCTGGTTTTCCTCTAACTTTCTCAAACTTAACGACAGTAAAACCGAGGTTCTCCTCATTGGCTCAAAATCCACCCTAACCAAACCTGACAGTTTCTCAATTACTATAGACAACTCTTCAGTCTCCCCCTCCCCTCAGGTTAAGAGTCTGGGTGTCATCCTCGACGGCACACTTTCATTCAAATCTCACATCAGTAATATCACTCGGTCTGCCTATTTCCATCTACGCAACATCAACCGCCTCCGGCCGTCCCTTAACCCTAAGACCACCGCCATTCTTGTTCACACCCTGGTCACTTCCCGCATCGACTACTGCAACTCCCTTCTCTTTGGTCTCCCTCTCAAATCCATCCACAGACTTCAACTGGTTCAGAACTCTGCCGCCCGCATCATCACCAGAACCCCCTCCATTAACCACATCACTCCTGTTCTTCAGCAACTTCACTGGCTCCCCGTCAAATCCCGTATCGTTTTTAAGATTCTGCTCCTCGCCTTTAAGGCCATCCATAACCTCACTCCTCTGTACCTCTCCGACCTCCTGCACATCAACACACCCATCCGCACTCTCAGGTCTTCTGCTTCCCTCAGCCTCACTGCACCCCCCTTCCGTTTAACCACCATGGGGTCTAGAGCCTTCAGCCGCTCTGCACCCCGCCTCTGGAACTCCCTCCCACCTGACATCCGCAACACTGACTCTCTCCCCATTTTGAAATCACGCCTCAAAACATATCTCTTCACACTCGCATATCCACCCTGATCATTATCCATCACACATCCTCTGTTTTATTTATTTGATTTGTTGCATTGTCTTGTTTATGTTTCTTATGCTGGTGTTAGGTATTGTGTATCTTGTTTTTTTATGTGTTTGTACGGCGACCTTGAGAGCCTTGAAAGGCGCCTATATAAAATAAATGAATTATTATTATTATTATTAAGGATGGTCCGGATCTGGGGGTGGGAGGGTTTATTTTTCCATAGTTTTGTCCTCTTGTCTGATTGTTGTTATTGTTTGTTTTTTCTGTATTTTTTGTAATTTGTGCTGTATTGGTTGTGATTGTACATTGTATTTTTCTAAATGTGTATGAATACATTTTTGAAAAACATTTGATCAACAATAAAAAAGGATTTGGTCAGGATCTAGACTCAGTGTGTAGTTTATTAATTAATCAATGCTCTCTACATTAGGAAAACACATACCAGTGTACCAGAGGGAGTCACACACAGCTGTGCCTAGATAACCAAAATCCTTGAATCTACACACAGCAAATAAACTCAAATGACACAACGAGAAAAAGGAGATCACACATACAGTATAGTCGATATAAAACTGGCCGCTTCAATCTGAAGAGCAACTAAAACAAAACACGGGAGTGTACCTTGTTCTTGTGAACACTAATGTTATCCACAGCATACACAGAGACCACGAATTTCTTAAGGAGAAAACTAGTTACTAAAACAAAACACGTTAGTGTACCTTGTTAGCTAATGTTAGCTAGCTGACATTAACGTTACACATTGCACTCATATTACTCACCGAAACCTTGTAAAGCCGGTCCCGCTGCTCTTACAGAACCGACTAACTCCCCTTTCGTGTATGTACAGCTCTCAACGCCCAGACTTGTAGTGATGTTCACCTCGTTTTATACTTTTCGCCTCATTCTGAAAGAAACAGGTGATATTTGCTAACGTGACGGCCGTCTTTGTGATGGTGACGCGTTTTGTGCGAGACCAGAGACCTGTAGTTCACTGAGCGGTTTCACACAAAAAAATGTGTAACTTCACAGTTTTACGACACATTTTTATTTTGTTGACTTGTAAAATGTTCTTTTAAATTGACAAACATCATATGTGTCATTCGTGGCACAATTCAAACGGGATCAAAAGATAACCTTTCTCTCTCCATTGACTTCAATGTATAATTTTCCGCTTCCGGGGTCCCATGGAGGCTCCCGGAAGGGGAGGGACTTCGCCTCTCGGCCCTGGCAGCGGAACGCGGAATGGGGCGGGGTCGGATGTGGGCGGGGCTGGACGTCCGATGGGCGGGGTGTATGGATATCCTAATGACACAAACAGCATCATCTGCTGGACAACTACAATAAGTACAAATACAAATCTGCACTCGACTAAATATAATTTAAAAACTAAATATAAAAACTTCATACTAATTAAATGCATGAATGTATTTAAATATGTGGTATACAAAGTCATATTTTCTATATTAGTGTATTTAAGTTCATTATTTAATATTTGTTTTAATTGATATATTAGTGTATTTAAGTATATTATTTAATATTTGTTTTAATTGATTATTCATTTAGTCAGTTCTGTGCATACTCATATCTAGTCCATATATTTCAAATGATACATTGCACTGCATTTCATAGAATGATAGAAAAAGCATTTATTATTTACAACATTTATCATATAACAGAACAATCATTAAGATAACAGAACCGAAAAAGCAAATACAGTAAAACCAAGTATACAAAAAACAAATCTATACAACAGTGAAAGGCTTTGCTGATGCAAACATTCAACCGCGCTCTTCAAAACAGGCATGAACCTTAAGGTTTTCTTTGTCAATGCACTGCTCAAAAAACATTAAATAGTCCGACTCAAATTTGAACCTGAACATACATGGGTCCATCCTGTCTTCCCAGCTGTCTTCGTCCCGCAGGTTGCTGGCTTCACCAAGGTTATGGAGAGCTGCTTCTCTGTCCAGTGGGGCCATGGAAAGAATTTGTGGCAGGATGACTTTATCTCCCATATTCTTTGCAGAGCATGCACCACTGAGATGCCGCCATAGCACTACTTATAAAGGGGTGCTTCTCCTACAGCAGTGGTTCTCAAACTTTTTCTGTCATTCCCCCCTTTGAACAGGTGGGCCTTTTCAAGCCCCACCTGTTCCTCTTAAGCTTAATTTTTCAAGCTTAAAATTGTCAAAAGTATCGTTCTATAACAGGGGTCTCCAACCTTTTTTAGGATGAGAGCTACTTTCAAAAACTAAAACGAAAAAAAGAGCTACTTTTACTCATCTTTTTAGTATTTTTGCAGTGTATATATTTAGCACATTTTAACATTATTATATGCTACCTTTAACCTTTGAGTGCTGTTTGGGTCTGTGGGACCCGTTTTCAGTGTTTACTAAAATAAAATGTATGCAATTTAATTATTTTAACCTGCTTTATTTGGTGTTGGACGTCACATCCTCTAGGGTCCGGGGGCAGGCACCCCCAGGAAGATTTTTTTTTAAATGTTGAAGTTAAATGCATCAATCTGGTGCACTTTGAGCCAGGGCTGCTCAATTAATCGTATTTTAAATCGCAATTACGATTTTGGCTTGCAACGATTATGAAAACATAATCGAAATAAAACGATTTTTTTTATTTTTAAATAGGGTTTTCAGTTGAATTATACTTAAAGTTCAGGGTAATCAACTGTTAAAAACATACTTTTCAAATTATTTTCTTCAATAAATTAATGCTTTCAAAGTAAATAGTTAATCGTTTTTAATAATTGTGATATCAATTATTGACCCAAATAATCGAGATTATGATTTTTGCCATAATCGAGCAGCCCTACTTTGAGCCCAACATGAATTTATGGATACAGCTCTCAACACTCAGATGAAAGGGAGCTGTATACTTTTAAATAATCCAAACATCTTTAGAATATGATCACAACAAATCATTTAAACTTTTTATTTTTATTTATTTTGTATTTCGCGACCCACATATCACATCTCTGCGCCCCACCAGTGGGGCGTGCCCCACACTTTGAGAAACGCTGTCCTACAGGAAGAAGATACATAGTTTATGCATTGCTACTACACTGTACATTTACTATTCTTATAGTGCTGCTGCTGATTTGCAACAAGATGCTTTGAATGTGTAATTATGACGCACAAAAACTTGCACATGCAACACTATCTAAATCAGTGGTACAAAATATTTTCAGCCATTTTCTACCAGTCGCTGCAGAAGAACAGAAGGAAGTGCTGTGAATTTCATGTAAGGTATAACAGATAGCATATCACGTACTCCATCCTCCTCTTCAGAGCTGACAAGAATTTCTGCAGCCGTCTTTGCCAGTGGGTCCTTTTTCTGGAAGACACCAGATAAAAGGAATTACTACTGCATGGTAAAACAGTTGTACTTGCATCATGACACATTGCCCCCTTGAATAAGAGGTGGAAGCAACAAACTGTATGGCTGTGGAGCACATCCATGGAGATTTTAAGTAGTAAATTACAGTCTACATACCCATCCAAAGTCGCTGCAGAATGCCATTTCCTTTACGACTTTACTTCTTTTGGGTGGGTCATCATGATTACTTACCCTGGGACTGTCTTCGCAGTCTTATCTCTCCAGTCGTCTTTTGGTTGATCTTCTGCCTTCGAATCTATCAGTGACAACAAGTGATATGGGAATTGTTAATAAACATAACTGGTTTATTGTTTAATTTCATTTTAATTTATCATAAGACATAAAAACAATACAATAAAAGATTCAAGATGACACATGCAAAAAATGTGTCGCGGTAAGAATACTTACGTCACGGGGAAGTTGTCAATGAGTAGCATGCACCACCATCTCCTTAAATGCTCCATGTCCAACTGTGCAAAAAAAAGATGCATATTAAAATGAAAAGGGAACACCACAAGGACTGATCAAAAGTGTATCTCTGTGGCCTACCTCACTGAAATCAAAAGCTGACTCCATCACAAAGTAGAGGGCATACTGTTCAAGAGTAAACAAAACATTACACACTAATTGCAAAACTGTAAAGAAAAGATTGATAAATTCATCAGATGAGCCATACCATGAGCACAAACACCCCACAGTTGTTGGAGGCCCGTTGTCTTGGTATGCCCTATTTCATGAAGAAGGTGAGATTCTATACACATATACACACACACACACACACACACAGTGTAGGAATCCAGGAATCAAACTCAATTAGTGTGCATCATAATTACTAACTTCCTCCAAGTTTACAGTAAAACAAACTGGTGGTGTGACCAATGGCCATTTACAATTATTAATACTATTATTAGTAATCATAGAAAGCTCAGAGAAAGGAGTATGAATGTAAGGTTTCCCCACTGACACAGAGAGGAGGAAAGAATGTCTGGCTCAAGTCAGCAGGAGCAATTTAACTATCACAAAAGACAACAACAGCAACAACATATGTGAGGTAATCATATTTTACACAAAACGAAGACACCATTGGGAAGCTTAATATCTGTTTAATCAAAATAAGGAACAGGGAGAGGCTTGTAAAACTCTGGGAGTTGAGACTCAGGTGCAGGGTGAGGGTCTCATTGCAGGTCTTCAGGCTCCATTGAATCCCCCTGGGGTTCTTGTGCTGAAAGAGGAAGACAGGAGAAAGGGTTAGATACATCTAGTATCACTTAAAGGAGACCTATCATGCTATATTTAAATGATATAGTGTATGACCATACACTAAGGTATAAGGTATATTTATACATTTTATTTTTCAAAATACCAAACAGATCATTTTTTAGCCATGCCTCGTTTTGCTCATTTTCGCTCTTTTCCAAGCCTGTCTTTGAAAATTCTGAGCAGCAGCTGACCACGCCCCCCTGCAGAAGAGCGGGGCATGAGCCGGTGAGAGTCACGTTAACATGCTTGCTGTGATTACGAGTGTGGAATAAACATGTCATCTCAGAGCAATGCATGTGTTCAAGCATATTATCAATTTGATCCAGAGACTGACCCTGAAGCAGCGGAGGTTTTTGTGGAGGTGCAAAGATCTCGGTTGCAGCAGGACGTTTCTGAATGGTTAGTTGACAAGCTGTTGTCCCTATTTATTTTACTCTGTTACGATGATTGCTACTTATTCCGTTCATATTTTGGCTAATTAGCAAGAATGCTATGTGTACAGTTTATAACTTAGAGCTTGTAACGCAAAAACAGCGATACATATATATATTTATAAAGGGAGACATTCATATTTTCAGCATATATACAATGGCCTCATTGCGTGTATTAATAGTTTACAGCCCTTTTCTTCCAACATCGTGCAACAACCGTTGGAAAGTTCAATAACTTAGGGTGATAAAAAGTATAACTCCAACAACACCTCAGTTGTCAGCAATGTGTGTAGTTTCATGTGTTTTTAAAAGCTCAGTTATTGACTTCTTTCTACAGGTGTACATGTGCAAATTGCGCCACGATGCCTTCTGAACCGGAGAATGTGTGCTGCATGGCGATACCACAGGTAACATTTTTGATAGCTTCACTAAGTTGTCTGTTTAGAGAATACATTTTTAACATGTCATTCAATATGTTTATCACACTAGGTGTCAAGACGGATGCAGGAACTTGAGGACTCTGTAACCTGTGGTGGACCATCCTGGATTGGAGCCTGTGTGCCTGAATGTGTTCTCCCTGCAGAATGCATTTAATATTTACAGAGCTGAACATGGTGGACTACAGTTGAGGCAAATAGAGCAGTGAGTGGTTTGTTTGTTTTGACTGAAATTGTAAAACGAATGCTAATATTGTTCATGGAAATAAATACTGGTGTATATGGCTTTATGCAATCTTTCATTGTACATGTACTATTATATATATATATATATTATTACACAGCAATGGCATAACACACCCATGTGTACGACAAAAAAAGTCCACACACAACCTTATGCTTTTGAAATCAGAATATTCTTTACCCATCCAAACATAAATAATCACGACACATTTGATATCAACTCGGAACTTTATTGTCAAAATCAACGGTTCTTTGAACCCATAAAAAAAACGAAATGTACTTGTATTTTGTATAAATTACACTAAATATTTTTTTTAATGATTTCAGGCGTCACAGGTATCTAGCCTACAGAAGCTTTGTGAGCTGGTGCTGGGGCTTCCTTGGACGCAGGATCAGAGTGGTGATTCCGGCCTGCGTTGTCCTCAAGGAGGCAGGAGTTTCCTGATCCGCAAAATGTCGATGTTGGGTTCAGACAGCAGCCAAATTGAACCGTGTAGCATACCCGGCGATGACCTCGTCCCTGTCAGGTCGCTCATAATGGTGCAGGGTCCACAAAGACTTGGTCGAAGATGAGGTCCATCAAGTTGGCCACGTAGCCTGTGCAATGTTAAAAAAAAGCACAACAAAAAATGTGGTTTAGATTAGTATATGCATGTAAAAAACTGAAAGTTCTTTCTAATTTTATATTTGTAAATAGTTGTATAATAAATATTTTAAACACTTACGGAATGTGGGGTCAGTCTTTACTGGTTTTGCTCTGCATTCTCCCTTCCTGGCCTTTGGGAACTGCAGTTTATACAGAGGGTTTCCAGTGGATGTTGGCTTGTGCACGCTCAGCGTTTTCATTGTAGTGCAGGGCTGCCAGGGACAGTCTTTCATTTCCGCCATGATAAAAAAAAATGTAAATAATAGCAAAGGATGTACAAATTGTCACTAATTAGTAAGTATGTGAGGTGCTGGCCTGTAAAGAAGAAAACATAGTTAGAACAAAATCATCTCAATTTAGTATTCAGGATGAGAAAATACTATTTGGATAAATATCGTCTGAAATCCCAAAAGATGGGGCTTAAAACTCTCTATTTAGCAAAGCTCTTTGCTTAGCCTTTTCCAATCTGAGTTAGTTTTGAACCGTAACGTGCATGCTGTGTTTCTGACTCAATACAGATGATATGTTGGAGAGGGGCTGAGCTCAGTAGACTGACTGTACTGAGTGCGAGCCACTAATTAGCCTGTTGCTAGGTAAGGCCTTGTCAACAACAACATACCAACGGGGCTTTAGCTCCGTTTACTCGTGGTGTGTGTCCCCCCTCGCATACATACACACAGTGTTGTATCCTCACACACCCCCATTTATATTCATGTGCGCAAACAAGTAAACACACAAAAGCTTTTACATATAACGCTGCAAAAAACGGCATGTCTCATTAGCGTAGCGTAGCTTACAGATCGATGATATCTGATCGTTCTTACAGACTACAATCACAAAAGCTTTTACATATAACGCTGCAAAAAACGGCACTTACCTACAGAAGATTACGTTTGTTATTATAACTTACTCAATATGATTTTAGAGGATACAAAATACTAATAAATAGGAGAATAAATACTTGTGTTATCGGCTAGGGAGTGGCTTTACAGCCTTCACGCAGATGGCCATTACGGCAGTATGTCTGAACATGTTAGCAAATGCCTGATAATTAAAATAAAAGACAAAGCAAAGACTGCGGAGCGTACAATATAAAATGTTATAAAAACATATAAACACCTAACCGATTACTATTTGGGTTTGAGGCGACATTGATACGGCGAAGCTACATGCTACATGCTACATACTACAAGCTAGAGATAGCTTTATCAGGAAAAACAACCGCTAAATAAAAACTTACAGCTTCAAAATTGGATGTGTCCTCACTGGCCTGCTCCCTGATGGTTGGTATTGATCCCGGCAATGCACGTGGCCGTGGCTCATTCCCCTGATAGGTGGAGAGTTGACCAATAAGCGGAGCACGTCTCTTTGTGACGTAGGAAAGTGTTGAAATCTGGATCCGTTTTTTTCAGATCCGTTTCAGCCACTTTTTTAGAGATTTGACGAAGGAGGAAAATAGAGAGGGTTGTGTTTTCTGACACTTGGTGAGTTCCCTGGAACACCGGAGACACATATTCATGTATAAAAGACGTCCAAAGGTGCATTTTGCATGATAGGTCCCCTTTAAGTCCCTCTCCCTTTGCCATCAATCCAAAATCAGCTGAGCTGCAACATAATACAGACAGGTAATAATCAACAGAATCACAATGGCTCTGCTAAAAACACTCACCCATAAGTTACGTTTTTGTTTACTGTTTGGAAGTCTCAAATATGCACTCTAAATCCATATCAATAGCGATGTATCACAAAAATAGCTCTCTTGCTTATTATTGTGTAACGTTAACTATATTATACTAGCTTGAACTCCAATGGATATCCTCATTTCACCACCTCCACCCACTACAATCACACGCCCCAATGTTATATGTAACTCCCTCCACCCCGGATAAAAGCACGTTAAGAAGCCCCTTTTCTCTAATTCCACAACGTTGGAGGAAATAACATGAGGAGAATGGATTAATAGGCTGTTCGTGGTTAACGTGTGTTGCTAACTTTATCCGGCATCCTAGCCTAATCTGTTATCTGTAAACGTTAAATATACTGATTGAAGGGATAATCCACTAACATCCTTTAATACACATGTGTAGTTAATTTGATTCAGATGTTCTGATAATATCCGCAATATAAATCTTTAAACGTCTTCTTCTTACCTTTAAAAGTTCGTTTACGAACGGTCTATTATGCTACAACTCTACTGCGCTGCTAGCCGCAGATCCTCTCAATAGTTTCCCGGAAATTAGCAGCAAGCTAACTTCCGGAGAACTATTGAGAGGCTCCACGATCCGCCATTGCTGTAAAAAACTGTGAACTGAACGGAGATGTCGTTGTCACTGTCACTACCCGATGTCACTACCCGATCTGCAGCTCTGCCCGATCTGCAGTGCGCATGTGCGAGATGGTCCGACATATTGGACAACTCCGGACGGCAACCCAAGTAGGACAACATTGACACAGTGGCTTTTGGCAAAGCTCAAAAGGAAAACTCGAGAGAGATGAGTTATTGTTATTACAACGTGACTTCACTATTATTTAACAACAACCGTCCACGCCGGCCACAGGAGGACGCAAGCGGAGAGACGCCCACAGCAACCGCCTCGGCATCAGACTCGCCCTTCGGCGACTGCAGGGGCTCCGTCCCACGTCTCCGCTCCCCCACCACCCCAGAGACAGGGTCTCCCGGCGGCGAGTCAAAGGGGAGTGAGGCTCCCCCGCTCCTGGTCTGTTCCGCGAGAGCCTCCGAGGAAGCAGAGCC